TACCCTAGAATTCATATTTATTCATGAGGGGCCTTTCATCGGTTGGTATCATTAAGGGAACTAGTCTAGAAGGCTTTTTGTGTAGCATGGCACTCCCTAATTATTCCCGACAGCTGTATCAAATTCTCCATGTGAGAATGATAAGCTGTTCACAGCAGCTCTGCCTAATGTTGTTCGCGGTTCTGTACGCCCGCCGAGTGTCTTTCAAGGCCGCCATCTATACGTGTGTTCACGCCGCCACCGCGCGTAATCGAAGCCCTTCTCCCTCGATCGCCGCGGCGGGTGATGTACCTGACTGCACAGGACTCGCTGTCGCGGGTTTAGGCGACGGGGTCTTGGCGGCAAGATTATCATTAAGTTTATCGTCACTCGCGACCTTCGTGTCATCGCTAGTTTCCCGTATGGGTAGCAGCCGCTCCCCAATCGGCGGTGGAGCGAGCAGTTCCGGTTGAGGTTCCGAGGGCTTCGGAGATCGGGGCTGTCCTTCGGGAGCAGCGGCCTCAGCTGCGGACTCCGCACCGACTGCAACCTGTTCCGGAGGTGCCGGTTCCGGGTTTACCAAGGGCTTTAGGCGTTTGTCGACCTTCAACACCCCGGCCGCAAGTCCTCTGACTCCCGTAGCTATGATCTCTGGTCGTTCCCAAGCGAGGAGCCCGGGTTCTCCGCCCACGCGGTTAGTATATAGAACCTGGTATCGGAGCTTGGCCCAGCTAGGGCAGGAATATGGGGATCTCGCCCCATCAGACACGCCGGCATGTGTCCCTGCATTTCCGCTATTGCTGCTCTCAGCCGTGTTAGGCTCACATCCGAGGAATACCGTGAGCGCCACGCGCGGTTTCCCGGTAGACTTCTTCTTGATGACATTTTCTGGATGGCGCAGACAGTAAGCCCAGAAACGCATGGCGGACTCCGGGCCAGGAAGCCATGCGAATTGTGTGAAGTTGATGATCTCCGTGGGCGTGAACTCCTTCTGGGGTGCGAAGAGGCGGAGGCCCTTCATCACGAAGACTAGGAGGCCCGTGGGGGAATCACAGAGCGCGTACGCCAATGTGTTAGGCTCTGTGAATCCTATTTCGTCAAACCTAGATTTCGCAGCGGTTGTCAACGTCTTCGAGCTTTGCTTGAGAGCAGAGAGGTCCTCTGAGCGGTATCCCCAGACAGAGGTCTTGAAAGTACTGGCGATAGACCATTTCGCCCATTTTAGAGGTGCCTTTTGTAGTCTCGGTTGGGTTAATGGTGGGGAGATGAGATGGGTCCCGAGACACGAGTCTGGATATTGTGCTGAAAGCCAATCGACAAGTTTATAGTCAATCTGACTTGGTGAGGAGGCCCCCGCGCCTGCATTTGTCGCGAGGTAAAAGGGGTAGCCCAGCCGTTTCATCAAGGAATCGAGCAGATCTGCTGTAGACGATATAACGGGAGTGTTCGTCGGAAGTGCATCACTGAAGCTCAGGCCGGGTAGCGAAGGGATAACAAGATGGAAAGCTTGATCGTTTACATTTTCCGGCTCAGTAAAAAGCTTGATTAAGTGACCTAGGGAGAGGCTTGAGAAGGGGAATGGGGGTATTAATAATAAGGGTATCACGTTTGCGCGTGGTGAGCACACATGGATGAAGTGAATTCTAATTGGTGATTCAGATCGAGGGATAGTAAAGCTCGTACGAAACTGTGGGAGGCGATTCAAAATCTCTTCCTGCTCCCGCCATTGATATTGCTCGAGCCTGCCAAGGTTAGTATATTGTTTTCGGCGGTTTTGTCTTTTCATCGGGAGGTCATGAGAAACAGCACATCATCAACTGTATAAAGACAGACATATACACACGGCGCCTGAGAGGTTTAGGTAACTCACCAGAAATCGATGAGAGGTTCGACCTGGGGCTTTGGCTGCCACCAGTCTTCAGACTTGGGCTCATCAAGTTCATGCGGTAATCGCGCGATCTCAAGTTTCTGCTTAGTGAGGTTGAGATATCGAGTTGTGACCTAAGCAAACGATATAAAACGTCAGCTAGCCACCCGTATATCCATCAATCTCATGTTTTCTGGGGATGCCACGAGTGACTGACATGGATCCTGTAAGGCTTGACTTCTTCTGCTGTGCCACTATTTTCTCCTGTCGTAACAGGTTCTTCAGCCTCGGTAGCCATGAAGATACTAGATATATACGGCAGCTAAAACTATCCTCCCAAGAAGATAGAATATGTATACGTATCAGATAAGCGAATGACTGAATGAATAGAGAGATAAGAAAATGAACGTCAAGAACGATAAGCGTTTAGTCAAGTGAAGCATTAGACATGAAGAGAGTGTGAAGAAAACAACGCTCTCTGCTAGCAGCTATGAGCTATGGCATTAGCAAGTAGCTAGCCGCATGTTACCGCTGTCCGAAGCAATCGCCCATTTCATTTAATTATATTCGTTTTAAGGGACGAAAAGGTAACAAGGAATCTCGGTGGCTTGACTCGGTGTGGCTACGGTCAGATCGTACGTTGTGCCAAGCCATGCCTATAACGGACTAGTGTACAATATCCACGGCGCCTATGTACGGTACCAATGTGCTGTACGTAAGCCTCTACTGCACTGCGTACAGAGGCGTGCTGTATGTAAGCCTGTAGCATGCCACTAACAAAGCAGGTCAGAGGCTGTTATGGTGGAAGATCTAGTCCGGCCAATTATCATGTTATTATGGTTCTGGTACCGGCTGGACCGGGCGGACCGGGAGATTGACATCCAGGGTATATCATTTGGGGGCTGGAACCAAGACAGTGGTCGTGCACACGTGTACGGCGCTGTCCACTTTCTAGAACATCCGTGTCTCATGTCTGAACAGGCAAAGCTGGTTGTCGAGTAGAGACTCGCTGCATTGAGCACCACTTATATGCATCATGCATGGTCGCGACGACAGCGAATAGAATTATAGACGCCTTCGTCTCATCTTGAAATATTGTGGGGGGACGCTAATCTAGAGCAGGTAGGTATATAAATTCTTAAAGAGTTCTCTTCGTAACAGGTAACTGGGTAGCGAGAGAGTAAATAAAAGCACTATTGTAAGTATTTGACAATTCCTAAGCCGTGTTGTCACGTCAATACCTTGTTTTATGCAAGGACTAGGCCACAGGTAGGGGTCCAAGGCCTTGAAAGCTATACTACTGAGTAGTAGTATACGCATAGCTCTTACATATATATATTAGGTACTATAAATAGAGAAAGCTAGTGATCGATATAGAGGTTACGGTACCTTAGTAGCTATTTCTTGGGTAGCTATTTGTTGACAATACAACAAGAACTATAAGTAAGTAGGATTCAAATCGGGGTAGATGGTGGTGATTAATTTACGCATTTACAAAAAAGACCTCTCGTGTTCCCCCTCATCTTTACTTTACTATGCTTTAGGTAGGTAGGTCATAAATTTAGTACCCTCTTTTCCTACCTGGAGGATCTTCGAAGTGACTGTGTGAACCTACACACTATTATTGTGACCGAAACCCAACGGTGGGTTCAGGCCGCAAACCCTGTTTTCAAAGTAGGCAACATTTCATGAAATCATGACAATGACATTAGTCAAAATGACAAGGTCAACTAACAGCCCATCGCTTGTGCCTAACAGCTTCTACTAACTCTTGTGGCTGCCTCAACCGGTGCCAGGATACCGGCGACAAGGCGTTGTGGTAACCCCCAGCTGGGATCAGCAACAGTCCAGGGTCAGACACAGAGCTGGCTCATCATGATCTATAGAGTATGGAGCGTAACATACACGGACGAAGTAAATGTAGCTTAAGTCTGCGGAAATATATCATACGGATAAAGATGCAATGTACTACTCAAATATATCTACATCTTTCAGACCAGTACCTAAGTAGAGAGGCACATAACGCCTATGAAGCAAACCAACTATAATACATGAACAAATAATGTCACTCCGGTTTAAGATGAATCAGCTATATTATATCCTCATTCAGTATCCTCTTCATCACCAACCCACCAGCGCCACTACATTGTCTCAAGTCAGCAATCAATTGCTCCTTTAGGTCTGAAACACTGAGCTCCTCGGAGCCAGAACTGTCTTGGGCTTAAGCACTTACAAGCACCTTACACCAGAAGATAGTCTCCATGGTGCTGAATACACCAATGGCAGTATAGACCACAAATTTAGTGATGCGGTTCATACCAAGGTCCCGAAAACTGATATTGAAATTCTCTTCTGGCGGTGAAGTCTCTTGAGTGCCTGACCTTGTACGCGACGACGACGCATCCTTGCTGGCACTGGCGGTGGCACCTTTCTTAGCCGATGTAGACGTAGACGATGATGAGAGGAGGCTAGAGCCTGTGCTAAAGCTCTTTGTTAATAGGATATTATGGTATCCTATTGCGCACGGATTGAACTGTCTTGAGATATTAATGGAGTAGAGGTGAGGATGCATGCGTGTAAGTCGTGCCCCGCTTATAGTAGCTCTAAAGGCCGATGGGATTAGGGAACAAGTAGGCAGCATTGTAAAGAGTCAATCAATCAATACAGACAGTTTACAGATTTAATATAAAAACAAGGCGATAGGAAAATATTTGAAGAGAATGAAGAGAAAAAAAAAAACAATCCAGCTTTCTTATTATATACCTAGATGCTTCCCTTTGATTTTCTATATGGGACCCAACGATTACGAAAGGCCATCGATCTATGCCTATCTGTTGAATACGCCGTATTCATATAGGAGTCTTTCCTAATTCAGTAACTCCTGTGCAAAGCAACAATTGCTTAACTAAAGAGCGCGAGTGGTGATAAGTATTATCCATAGAGACAAGTATTTGATCTGCTCTCAAAATATCAGAAAGGAGGAGACAAAGAGTGCTTGCTGTATTAAAGTTGGCCTATGCTTATTTATTCAAGTAGTATCTATACGCTGTAAAAACATTTCCTACTCGTTCATACCCCAGCTCCAACGCAGGCTTTTTGTGCTTCCTACAACGTGGAAAATAAAAAGTAGCCAAAAAAGAAAACGGAGCTTTGATGCATTGGCCGGGAATCGAACCCGGGTCCCAGACAGTTTCCAACAAGATGGGAAGTCTGGATGACTACCACTACACCACCAATGCAAGCTGTTGTTACATGAATGAGGTCATGGCAACATCTATATACGAATGTGGGGCGGGGAAGAGAAAGGAGATCTGTCATAGAAAATTGGGTTAAACTTCGCTGTGAGCATTGAACCCAGCCCTTATGCGTTTAGACATAGGTATACCTATCACGACCAACGCTCATACTGAGATAAAACCCCACCAACTTCTTACTACCAGGAACTAGAACGACCGCCACTTCCTCAGGTCCACTATGAGCAGAGCATTAGCTAGCTGCCTGAGTAGGTAACACTTGGTTGCAGCTCGATCCCACTTATAATTTACCCAAATATATCGTGTACGCATCATATCTTACCGCCTACCCGAGTATCCGTTAGAGATTCCAACAAATCCTCCATCTCTCCCAGCGTCACCACGCAACTTGCCAGGCAGCCTAGCCTAGTATGAGCGGCACCAAAGGCGGCGACAAGATCGGCAAGATCATCGCGCGACTACAGCAGCGCATCAGCGAGGGGCAGTTCTACGAAGCCCAGCAGCAGACCCGCGTTGTTGCCGCACGATACATCAAGGCCGCCAACTGGACCGCCGCCGTCGACATCCTGTACAATGTCGCCCAGTCGCTGCTGAAGGCGGGGCAGGGCGGTAGCGGGGGTGACCTCTGTGTGCTACTCATCGACACTTACAAACAGGCTGAGCTCAAGCCTGATGCTAACACCAAAGGAAAGCTGCTGACGTGCTTGCGCCTGTTCGACAGCGAGGAGCCCACGCGCAAGAAATATATTGGAGAAATAATATCGTATGTTTACCGATTTGTTCTATTCGGTCACTGCATGGTACTCTAAGTAGGAATAGCTATGGGAATGTGCTAACACAGAAGGCTGTCCGCAGATGGTCCTCGAGATTCGGCGAATACCCCGCGGGCGACCCGGAACTCCATCACGTTGCCGGTTCCCTATACGCAGAAGAGCACGAGGTTTATGATGCCGAGAAACATCTCATGCTGGGCACCAAGGATTCTGCCGAGGTGCTAGCTCGCATGGAGTATGAGTGGTTCAAGGAGGACGAAGCACACACAGCTGCCCTATACGCCGGTCGAGCGGTGCTGCCCTATCTAATAACGGCCAACGTCCGGGCCGCCAATACATCCTACCGCGTCTTCAGTAGCTTGCTTAGCGACGATAAACAATCCCAACTTGGCATACAAGACGTGAGCAGTAACAGCGCTGATTTGCGGGTGTTCCCGAGCATACCGCTCCTCAACTTCCTCGGTTTACTACTACTTGCCATTCAGAGAGGCAGCCCAGATCTCTACAGGCAGCTGACGACAAAGTACGCTAGCCATCTCAAAGACCTCGAGATGTGGAACGAGGCGCTAGAGATAGTTGCCGAGATATACTTTGGTATCGTGAAGCCCCGGCAGAGTAATCCCCTAATGGATATGATGAGTGGGTTCTTTGGCGGTGGGGCTCCTGCAGGCGGGAGCTCGAAGAAGCCTGCTGTTAAGGCTCCGTCATCGACTTCGATGCCGGCGGCGGAGGGTCTAGATTAATCGAGCTGCTCAAGGACAGGTGTAGCATAAAGTAGACAGCCATCCTAAATATTTTGTCGAACAGTATCCTTCCTGACTATGTTCAATGTACCCTTGGAGGTTCTTCAGCCTCGTACATCCAATTGTCTTCAGCCAACGCGGCTACCTTTGCCCTCATACTGGCCTTGAGGGTCTCGAGAACTTCTGCTTTGGTTGTTAGTCTCGACGCTTAGCATAATCCTACCCTTATTTACCTTCAGGCTGCGCTGCCATGCGCGTGTAATTGATCTGGTGGTGTCGGACGGCCTCCGCTAATTTATGCCTTTCGCCTATACACAATAGCCACTATGGTAAGTAAATGATTTTTCTGATTCGCGACGCAAAAAGGGGGGACTTGGAACCCGCGTACGTTCATTCTCCTGCGCATCATCGAGGGCGGCCTCATCGTCCGGGTCGTCCAGCGGTGGCGTGGGCGGGTCCTCGACCTCGAACTCGCCGTTCTTGTCGCGGATCACGATCTCGGAGGACTCAGAGAGCACGTCGGCGTCGAGGCGCAGCGTCTCAGCGGACGATGAAGACGTGTTCACTGCCGCCGCCGCCGCAGCTGCTGCTGCCGCTGCCGCGGCGCTGGCTGGACCAGCTCCTCCGCCGCCCAGCCTCGCGGTCTCGGCTGCTGTAGGTCGTCGCGTCAGCTGGCCCTGGAATAGGTTGCGCCGCACGACTGCTGCGCTCGTTGCTGCGCGCGTCAGGCGGCTTGCGCCTTGGCGTAGGCTCGGGAGCGGCGCGCGATCGGCCATTTGGGAGGACGAGACGGCAGGGTGCAGGCTGAGGGGCTATAGATGGCGAGGTTCACGTCGCGCTGTGTTGTGTTGATATACTCTTGCACCTTCGTAGGGGTAATAATATTCGTCTGTACACAAGGTCAATGGACCGGAAGGACGGGTACTTTGAGAATTCGGTTGCTGAGTTCTAGGTTGGATAGAAAGAAGCTTGTGATGATTGGTTATGGGTAGGTAGGTTAAGTGGTGGAGCTTAGCTAGATAAATAAGTAGGTTAATATGGTGTGATGGTGCGGGAGCTTGCGATGGGACCCTTGGAAACTGATATTGTTTATCTACCGGTAGTGGGTGGATACAGCTACAGGTGGTACATAACATCCCACATTACCTATAGGTATACCATGTAGGTACCTAGGTAGTTACCTACCTTAGGTAGGTACTTATATGATGTAGGATGAACTAATTAACTACACAACTTTCTTACGTGATTAGTGTTGTTATAGTGACCTGATTATACGAGAATTATATCCTTTTCATATCATCCTCGGGGATTTTAGGCTAGTCAAGATTTTTGCTCTCATCAACTACATTTTTGGCCATTTTCTTCCGGGGTACTTGTTTATTTGCCAATGGTATTTAGCATGCATGTCTTGGACATCTACGATATCTATTTTTATATCGAGTAATAGATGCCTACATAATTTCCTCATACAAAGAACTTGAAGAGAGGTATAAATAATCGTATAAACCTGGAGTAGAATGATGGGGCATTTGATTGGTTGAAAATTGGTGGGGTTTACCATGGGTTCGGTAACCTAGGTACATCTTTATATATCATTGAGTTGCCGTGCGTGCGACCTCTTTCACTTACCACTGTCAATAGATCAATGTCCATTCTTGCTCATGAAAGGTCTTCCATTCTTATCTAGCTTGCTTAAGACTGTTTACTCAAAAGGGTTGAGTTTCACAATGACCTCGCCCGTTTTCAATATCCAGCCGATCGGCCGTTTTAACGGCGATAGTGAGCCAGTGAAGCGGCCCAAGGTACAGCTACCCCATACGGCAAGGGCGAAGGCCCATGTTCAATGCCTCAATCATTCTGGACTCGGCAAAGTACTCAATGCATATTCTTGTATCTGACTAATCCGTTCTAAGGAATTTGCATGCTTTTCCTACGACGATGAACATGAGTTTCACCTCGACGACAGGTCGATGCAATGGTATTATCCCCCTCGACTGGGAGCAGACTTGTCCAAAGGTTTCGACAAGTTCGACAAACACGATGAATCAATAGATGAGCATCTAGATAGCTTGTTGAAAACCATCGCAGCTCACGAGAAAGAAGAGGGGAAGAAGATTGATGCGAATATTGTCACATGGCGTGGTATGATGACCAAGGCGAGCAATCTACTCTTTAAACATGATTCATATATGTAATAATGTCTAATTGTATCTCATAGATAATGTCGGCGCCGTTTGAGGATAGAGATGGGTATGTAAAAGATAATATTGTTGATGATAAAAGCGCACACTTAACTGTTGTGTTTATGCTAGCTTCGAAATGAATGCAACTCTCTATCAAGTTCGTAAATCTACCAATCCTTCCTAAGGACTTCCCTACTAATCTTTCCGAAGGATTGCATGTATGACTCTGCCCCTCGTTATTTCGAACAAAATCGGACAAATCTAACAGCGGTGAAGCTTCATCGAGGACAATTATGAATTCAAGAAAGCCTCCAGAGATCAACAAAACAAACAGCAACGGGGCCGACGAAACCAGTTTTCACCTGAAGTTATGACCTACTGGGGTAAAGTCATTTATAGCTATCTATCTTACCTTCAGCCGCAAAGCTCACCGGAAATACAGGTTATAAATTTGAGGCGCTATCATGTTTGCCGCGACCCTGGGGTGAGGTGAGCCGTGAGTTCATTGAGAATCGTGACGAGCATGTTGTTAGCAATAAAGCCCAATATTGTTCTGTTGTACGAACAGGCATTGGCAAATCGGTCCTGTGTCTGGGCGGAGAAGTTGACGCTAGTGAGCCTCTCCGAATCGTAGCAATCTGGGTAATATCACACAGAAACACTAACACTGTGATTTGTCAAGTCTGGGACTCCAAGCCCACGCAAAAGGGGGCACCGACCAACTGGATTGAGCTGAAGACAAGTGCCGAAATCCGCGATAATAGAGGCATGCAAAATTTCGAGCGCAAGCTCATGAAATTCTGGATCCAGTCTTTCCTACTTGGCGTGCCCAAAATTATCGTCGGCTTTCGCTCCCAGGGGGGCATCCTTACCAAACTCGAGGAGATCCCGACAGCTTCTATTCCGGAGACGGCTGCAAAGCGTGGCGTGCGCAGTTGGAACGCCAATACGTGTATTAACTTCGCAAGCGCATTTCTAGACTGTACGTCTGCTAGTCTCTATTGACTACTTCGATGTTTATCAGCGTTACGTAACTGACTTAACTGTAGGGTTGAGAGATACGATCAACGATGAAGGGGTTTGGAGGATAAGAAGGCAAGCCGGCTTATCGACCATCGAGGTTTTTAGAGTCGAAGAAGTTGGACACGGCAGCATTCTCACGGAGGAATTCATTAATTGGCGGATCAAACTGAGTCTGAGCAGCAATGCTGCTACATAATTAGTTCTCGAACTGGTATATCGAGATCGAGAATGCTGGCTATGCTCTATATATACCCATGTTAATT